TATATTCTTTATTTCTATTAATATTGTAAAGCTCTGCCATGGGTGTGTCCTTGTGGGTCCGGTTCTGTTGAACACATTTTATTTGTTTTGTTTGAAAGCATTAGTCTCCTCGACCATGACCGCATTGTTTCGTGTGGCGTTGTTTTTTGGCATTTGTTTTTTTACGGCATCGACATGACAAGATATTTCTGTATTCTTTTTACGGCTTTACTTGATCTAATCCGGGTAGGTGATTTCCACCCCGCTGCAGGTAAGTTTCGTTTGGCATACACCAATCATATTTTTTTCCATCTCAGTCTTACCTGGGGGAATAAAGGTTCCTATTTTCGTACTAAAGCTGCCGACCACCTGACGATTGCGAAAAAGTATCAAACTTACAGTAGTCGATGGACACTGTGTGCCGGAAATTTAATTCGTATTTTAGAAAAGCTTCGCCATTTTATATGGAGTTGAACGCTTCTTCTTCCGGTGTGCATTCATGGCACACTGATTTTAAGAGCTTAATTCTATTAAATATATTAATACATACATACGTGTATATATATATATATATATATATATATATATATATATATATATATATATATATATATATATATATATATATGTGTGTGTGTGTGTGTGTGTGTGTGTGTATTTAGATAAAAAGAAAGAACAGTAAGATATATAATCCGGTGTTCTTATAGATATTTTTTTTTTACAAAATAGTGCTCAATGTAAATTTACAGACCATTAAACATGGTTAGAACTGTGTAGCGGAAAAAAAAAAACATATTTTAAATCAATTAATTTATAATATATATATATATATATATATATATATATATATATATATATATATATATATATATAAATGCATAAAAGATTAATCGTCAGACTTGCAGGAAACAATAGTATTAAAAAGTGGTCAATATACACGTGAAAAAAAAAAAAATCGCCTGAGGATACCGTAATTTGAAACCAAGATAGCGGATTCAACTGACCCCTAATTTTTGAAGTGTATATATATATATATATATATATATATATATATATATATATATATATATATATATATAACGTCATCCACAGACAGACTGTTTCGCTGTTTCACAGCTCATCAGTGTGGCTAGACATCCGGTTGCCTCTAGCTAGGATCGAAACCCGACTGAATTGGTGTCAGTCGGAGATTCTAACCATTATATATATATTATATATATATACATGCATGCACATTTCATTGAATACGATGGACAAGGTGCTTTTATTAAATTTTTATACAATTTTCTCATGCGATTTAATATTTTTTTTCTTTTCAGATGATTTATATATATATATATTCATGCTTAGGATAATATCTAAGCCTCGAACTGGAACTGTTTTAATTTTTCTGATATTTTAGGATTTAGTCCGATTTTTTAAAACTGGTCAAGCCGGAAAATTTTCAGCAGCCCATTTTATTGATTTTCTGTGCATGTAGATACAAAAATACTTATGCCCTTCTTCGAATAAATCTTTTTTGCTCGTTACCCGAATAAATTTCTGATAAGGTCAGTGCAAATACCAGCCACAGTTGGTAGAACGTTTGTAATAAAGCAGAAATGGTAAACCACATCATAAGAGTATACAAGGTGGTCACAAAGTAAACATGACAGAGTAGGAACAATCATATACTGAGAACTGTACAAATGTTTTGGGTTCGCTGATATATAAAAATGATGTTAACAACAAGAAGAGAAAAAAGAATAAGTCTAGAATTTTGACATTCTGAGTTCAAGTGAGAAAGAAAAGATTATCTACCAGATTATAGTTTTAAAAAAATTGGAAATATATCAAGATCTTGCCCGAGAACTGATAAAAAGGATTAGGTCGAGTTTATCATGGTTGTCGCACTTGAAACCGACCACACTAGTGTTGAACTGGTATCTTCATAGATACTGAGTAAGGTGCAAGAGTTTTGTGGAAACTTGTTTTCACTCAGACCTCAGCGATATGAATATGCAAAAGAATACACTAATGTTTATATCTTTGAAATGAGGCATTATGATTACTTGCATTATTTACATTATTCGGACTGTTATCCTCATCTTCATTGCTATATTCACAACGTTTCAGCCTCTATATCTCTGAGATGAGGTATTATGATTACTTGCATTATTTACACTTCCGGGTGTCGCAGTCATTTCCCTTTAACTCAACTCACCCAGTTATTTTTGGTTCACCACTGCTGTGGCCTGATCAATATCAAGACTCTTTGGGTCTAGTCACTGGATCTAAACAACGTCTTTGTCCAGTGGGCCATGGCACGTGGAACAAGAACAATGTGGACGAAATAAAGAGTTCGGTTCGAAATTCTAATCACGTGAAGATGGCCGGGCGTACAACGGTCGAAACGTTGTGAATATGGCAATAAAGATGAGGATAACAATCCGAATAATGTAAATAGTGCAAGAAATAACTATATTATTAGACTATATTATTATTCCGCCTTTATTATTATGCGTGACAGTTACGCTTTTCTATTTAAGACATGACAGGGAACATCCTTTGCTAATGTTCAGTCCGACTCAACACCGATGACTTTTCGTCATTAGTCGTATACTAAATTATGAAGCAACTCGTTATTCTATACTAAATTATGAAGCAACTCCAGTTAGATTGATGTAGAAAGATAACGATGGCTGAATTTGGTAAACAGAAAACTTTTGATTGAAAAGAGGTATTTACATATTCTGTTCAACGTTTGCATTTGCATGACTAAATGCGACCATTTCCGGTCGAAGAAAATGATCGCGTTATGTTTAATAATTGGTCGCAACTTTCAAAGAAGAAACCTTTGCATATTTTTTTTTTTTTTTTTTTGAATTTGTATATTCTTCCCACAGTAAATGCATTATAAGAACTTTGGAATGTGCTTAATTCCTAGATATGAATCTAGTATTTACCTTGTCACTATTAGAGTGGATAAAAGCTTTTGGCGCGTATTAAACATAACCTCATGCTTACTCTCGTCTGTTACAAATATTTTGTATGTAAAACAAGCAAAAACCCAGAAAAGTTTTCTTTTTACAAAGAGTTATTTTCTTAGATCATGATTTGCCATGTTTATTCCGTTTTTTTTTTTTTGTAAAAAAACAAAAACAAAAAAACGAATGACTGCTTTCGTTGTAGGATACACTATTTTACGTTTGACGGTTTAAAATATTGGAGCAACACAATCTTATTTTTACCGTTCCCCTCAATTTTAAGTATTTATTAGACTGATTATTGAAAGAAATGTCGTATCGGCTTTTTTTTCCTCTTGTGGTATTGAGCTGTACTAACCTAACGCTACTAAATATCATCAAAAAAATGCCTTCTTTTCTTTTTTTTCTGGTCGTAGAAGTCGTCTGCACGTATCAATTGTAAGTAGGACGCTTGAGGGGATTTTAGCGATGTTGTGAATGTCGCCCGCGCGGGAAAATGTTCCTCGCCAAAATTGCAGTGATCGAAAAGGGTAAATGAATAATGGCCCTCGCTAACCGAACACGAATTGGCGAAAAATAAAGGATCAAATTATTTGAAACATATTCGATCCAGTCTCCACAAGTGATCCAGAGCTAACGTAACTCTCCGATATGATTTAAATCATAGCAGATCTGCTTGATTGAAACAATAAAACATAAATATCTTTAGATCCACATCTTGCAAGTTTTTTTAAAGCTTCGAAACCTATTCCATCTACCCAAAATAAATGTCCATGTGATGATCTATTGTCCTCAAAACTATGTACGAGGGACAATAAACATCTGATTTTACACACCATTGCTTTTGATTTTGTACAGGGATTTTATTTTATCTTGTGGGATGTTTTTGTATATTTTAAAATTGGGAGTTCTCCGATAGTTACGTGAGATCTCGTGAGATGTGTGGACCAACGTGTCTGTGTGTTATTCTGTCTTAAGATGAATACATGTGTGTGTTGATTCCAGTTCGTATGTTTAAATTTATTTAATTTTAGATGCCAGAAACAAGGTGACAAGAAAAGGAGAAGCAAGAGAAATTCACGACAGAAGACAAAAAGTACAACGTGTAAATGAACGTTTGATGAATAAAAGAAGGAAATAAATCGGAAAAGAAATTTATAAAAGAAAGAGAAATGAAAGAAAAAGGAAACTAGAAAGAAGATGGATAGGGGAGATGGGAAATGGCGAGAAATGAAAGAAAGAAAGAAAGAAAGAAAGAAAGAAAGAAAGAAAGAAAGAAAGAAAGAAAGAAAGAAAGAAAGAAAGACATTTTGAAAGTGGGAAGGATGAAAGAAAAATGAAAGTGTAAGAAAGAGAGGGAAAAAGAATGGGAAAATGCCAAATTTATACAGAGAAGTCATGTGACAGAGAAGAAAGAAAGAAAGAAAGAAAGAAAGAAAGAAAGAAAGAAAGAAAGAAAGAAAGAAAGAAATTTAAATGTGGGGAAAAATGAAAGAGAGAGGGAAAAAGAATACGGAGACGAAATCATATGTCAAAGAAAGAAAAAAGAAAGAGAGAAAGAAAAAGAAAAGAAAATTTAAATGTGGAAAGGATAAAAGAGGGGGAAAGGTATAGAGGAGGCAAATTATCCGGAGACGAAAACATATGTGATGGAAAGAAAGAAAGAAAGAAAGAAAGAAAGAAAGAAAGAAAGAAAGAAAGAAAGAAAGAAAGAAAGAAAGAAAAAGAAAATTTAAATGTTGGAAGGATGAAAGCGTAGAAAAGGTATGGAGGGGGCAAATTATACGAAGACGAAATCCTATGTCAAAGAAAGAAAGAAAGAAAGAAAGAAAGAAAGAAAGAAAGAAAGAAAGAAAAAGGAAAGAAAGAAAATTTAAATGTTGGAAGGATGAAAGAGGGGGGAAAATGGGGGACAAATTATATGGAGACGAAATCATATGTCAAAGAAAGAAAGAAAGACTGTCAAACAGCATAGAAATTGTACTGAAAGAATAGGGGCGTTATCATTTCGTGCGTCTTTGAGATAATGGTAAATAGAGGAAGGAGGTAGGCCGTCTAGCAAACAGACAGGCAGACAACGCCAACAGATGCTGCGTACCTACACTGGGAATGAAGATGCCTCGACATCAGAGGAGTGGGCGGAAGTTTTAGCGGCAAGGTGTGTGGCTGACTACTCTGTTTAAAAAGGATCGTAACTGATTGGTTGAAAAACGTAGCACGTGACAGGTGGGGAGCGGCCTGTGACTGCGAAGACGCAGCGGAAAAAGACAATACGAAAAAGATGGGACGGTAAATAGATGGACGGAGAGCTTGAAAAACAAGGGGGGGAGGAGAAGGAGGAGGGGGAGAAGGAGGAGCAGGTGTAAAAAAAAAATTAGGAACCTGTGAGTGTCGGAAGGCGTTGCTTTGCAAAATTGACGGAACGAACGTATGGAAGGTGAAAGACAGCAGGTGAGAAGATTGGTTAACAAAGATGAAGGGGAGAGAGACGAGGAGAAGTAGGAGGTTAGGTTTGAGAAGCGGGTGGAAAAAGAGGAAAAGAAGGAGGGGAAGGACAGAATGGAACGGTGGGTGATAAGGAATGTCTTCGAGGCGTGAGAAAGGGCACATAGTGAGAGTGGGGGGAGGCGAGAGGAAGCCTGATAGAAAGGGAGGGGAAAGAAAAAAGATATAATAAAAGAAACGAGAAAAATTAGGGTATGAGGAAAAGGGGCAGAAAAAAAGGAAATATATTTTGGTAAAGAAGAAGAAGAAGAAGAAGAAGAAGAAGAAAAACAGATTTGAGGAAGAAGAAGAAATATAGAGTAGAAGAAGAAGAATAGATTTGAAGGAGAAGAAGAAGAAGAAGAAGAAGAAGAAGAAGAAGAAGAAGAAGAAGAAGAAAATATAGAATAGAAGAAGAGGAAGAAGAAGAAGAAGAAGAGATTTGAAGAAGAAGAAAAAATATAGATTGGTAGGAGAAGGAGAAGAAAAAGAAGAAGAAAAAGAAGAATCATAATAAGAAGAAAATAACAGATTTGAAGAAGAAGAGAAATATAAAATGGAAGAAGAAACAGAAAAAGAAGATATTTGAAGAAGAAGAAGAAGAAGAAGAAGAAGATGAAGAAGAAGAAGAAGAAGAAGAAGATGAAGAAGAAGAAGAAGAAATATAAATTGGAAGAAGAAGAAGAAGAAGAAGAAGAAGAAGAAGAAGAAGAAGAAGAAGAAGAAGAAGAAGAAGAAATATTGGTAGGGATAAAAGTTAGAACAACAACAACAACAAACTTGTGAATGACAAGAAACAAATAAGCGAAGGACGAAAATAAATGGAAAAGTTGATATGTTCGAAAAGTCAAGAAGAGAGAAGAGAAAAATGGATGAGAAATATCAAAGAAAATCACGATAAAAAAATCTTCCCTCTTTTTTTTTTTTACGGAAATACCAGAAAGAAACACCGTCGAGGCTCCTTAAAAGTGGGTGTTACTGTCAAGAAGAAAAAGTAAAAAGCAGAAAGGGGTGGGTGGGTGCGAAAAATCTCTAAACGAAAAAGACACAGCCAGAAAAGATGTGGGAACAATGGAAGATCGGCAGGAGGGTGAATGTGAAGGGTGCTGGGCTCAAGCACTTGTCAAGTGAAGAATAGAAGAAAGAAAAGTGGTGGGCTGGGGGGGGGTCTGCAATCTCACCTTAATGGGGGTGATGGAAGGGGAGGCTGAAGGAATTCAAGACGATGGAGAAAACAAGAGAGAGGGACAGAGTAGGACGATAGGAGGTGGGCGTTGGCAGGCAACATCTGCCTTCGACGCATCCACTGTTCAGAATGTCTTCATGGCTCCATCCGACACATCGTTCAACCTATCTCCCGTCATCGTCTGCTTACTCTCATTCGCAGGCTCTCTCTCTCTCTCCCACATCTTCTCCCTCTCTCACTCTTTTGGCTCCTCTCCGTAGTAATGAGTTATCCTCTCGCTGGCTTGCTCATTCTCCTCTTTTTCTCTTTCTTCATGCCTCATTCTATCAGTTTTCTTTATCTCACCGTCTCTGTTGATATGACCTCTTCGATTCGTCCGGCCGGAGGATATCGAGTAATATGGCTTATTTTCAAACCATAAACTCCCACTTCACTTTCGTTTACGGACATAGATTAAAACACACACACACACACACACACACACACACACACACACACACACATATATATATATATATATATATATATATATATATATATATATATTATGCAGGAATATATTTATTGAGTTTCTTTGGTATGACACAAGGCCAAAATATCCCATGAGGAATCCAATACAGCCCCCCGCACCCGCAATAATAGTCTGAGAGACTAGTATGTTAACCATTGATAAACGCCGACTTTTTTAAAACTTAGATTTATTAAAATTTACTGAATACAGCATAAAGACTTTCGTCTGAGTTGCACACTTGGGATCGAACTCACTACTGTCTGATTATCTTGGTAGCAATTAATTTACGGTCAAGAGGCTATTTTAATATATATATATATATATATATATATATACGGAACCGTCATATAGCCTGAAGTGATTTACCGATTTCGCCACAGAGGTGCGTTTCGGTTAGCAAGGTCGAGTTTATTGCTTTTAAACTACATTTCTCTTGTTCATTCATATCTGCTCGATGACTATCCAAATGAAACAAAAGACGTCACACATTATGAAATCAACAAAGTCCGACAATTATTTGAGACATTTTTATGCTTATACGTTCTTTTTTTTTTTTTTTTTTGAGAAATGTAAAATGGAGAATTATAGTTTAAAAACAGTAAAATCGACCTTGCTAACCTAAACGATACTCTGTGGCTATATATAACTATTTATTTAAAAAAAATTTATAACATAAATATGTTATAAAATCACTATAAAAATAGCCAATGGCTATTTTTGTAGTGATTTTATAAAATATTTATGTTATAAATTTTTTTTTAAATAAATAATTATAACTGCTCTACTTTGTATTGAGCACTCTTTAAGAATAGTAATTGTTGGTTATTGGAATTCATTCCGTATACACCAATCATATACTTGTATATATATATATATATATATATATATATATATATATATATTATTTATTCGAAAATCATAACATAAATATGTTATAAAATCACTTCAAAAATAGCCATTTTGTTTTGATACTTCTGGTGTCTTATCAAGTGATGATGTTGAATGTAGAATAAAATGTTTTAAAAGGTTCAAATCAATCAATCACCCCTCGCTAGGGGAAACGCTGTTACATAAGCTTCAATGACCAATCAAAATACAACTATATGAGAATTCAAGAACCTTGACAGCGATATATATATATATAAACACAAGGATTTAATTTTGTAACAAGTATTTATAAACAAGAGCAAAAATTTTATTGGTTATTCAAAGTTTTTAAATTTAAGAACGCTCATAAATATTCATCAGGTGAGCTGAAAAGTCTAGCCAATCTACGGAGGACGCGAAGAGACACAATTCACTGTCTAATAAACGACAGTGAGTAGATGATGTTTTTGATTTTTTTTTATGTAAATTAGTATCTAAATTAAGTTAGTTTGGAATTAATTTATGTGTTATATATTTTGAATAACACAAAGTTATGAATTAAAACATTTTTCTCTACTTTTTTAACATTTGATAGCCATTTATCTTGGTTTGGGAAAGTAGTCATTTTTTAAGGAATGGTGATATTAAAAAAATACCGAATACGGATTTATATTTTGATAAGATTCGATAGGGCACTCTCGAGAATTTTCCTTCTCCTTAATTTTCTTTTAATAAGTGGGGCATTATTTGTATCAAAGTTACATATGTGTTAATGCGTGTGTGGCTTTCTTTTGCTACCGTGTCCGTTCAGGACGTGATCGATCATAGCTTTCCACTACTTCCTATCCTTTGTAGTTCATAGCAATGTTAGTCTGTTTACTATTTCACCAATTCTCTGTTCTACCATCAATTTACACAAGTTCTTTGAGTAGGTTACTCACTTTTTCCATCTTCTGCTCTTGACTTCAATATGCCCTTTGAGTAACAAATTTTCCAAGCCTTCTTTTCTCATTATATGAAATTTCAACTGTCTCTTTCTGATTCTAAATAGGAACAAAAAGAATGTTTGGTTTTCTCCGCATCTTTCTACCTCTTGTCTCTTTTTCAACTGAAGGAATTGTCATTTATTCTCTACCATATAGTTGGAGTGATATATATTGTACAGCACTTGAGCAATATTTTTTCTGTTTCTAATGAAATTTTCCTGTTTCCTAATACTTTGCTTAGCTTTTGCAGTGCACCTTTTGAGTTTCCGCTTTTATATTTCGTTGTCACATTTTCTGTCCTCTGTTAAAACACTTCCCAGATATTTAAATTTTCGAACTTGCTTAATTTTGGAATCTTAACTTCGTAACACGCATCCTGGGGGTTGTTCCATTTGCTGCCAACCATCCATTTTGTTTTCTTACAACTGAACATTAGTCCTTTCTTCCTGCTTTCCTTTACTAGCTTTTCTGTGTGTTCCAGTAGTTTTCTTTCGGTGACTGCCGTCAACACTGTGTCATCTGCATATCTTAATTTGTTAAGATATGTGTGGGTGAGAAGAAAAAGCGAAATCAATAGATATGAAGGAGTTTTGAAATATTCTTCATCAGACGACCCGACCTTCTTTTTAAATTCTAATACAATCACATGTGCAGTCTTTTCAGGACTTAGGTGAACCTGGCTCTCCACAGGTTCGTTGGCTTTATTATCTTTGAATTGCCATGTATTGTTGAGAAAGAGAGTGTAATAGTTTGGAATTCGGTGTTCAGTTTTAGTTGCCACTCAAGGCTAGAGATTCTAGTCTACTTTGTTATTTAACACATAATTAGTTTAAGAAACGAATACACTTCTTTCCTAAGAGTATTTTGTTCGAAAGTGAATTCAGTAGACGGACCCGGAATTTACCATTTTACGCGTGTATATCTATTATAGTACTCACGCGTCGAATTTAGAATCCAAAGCCGAAAAGTTTTCGCCACTCTCTCATATCTATGACAAAGGGGTTACTAGTCTTACAGTCTACTTCAGTCAGTTCGACATAATGTGTTGTTCTCGCTTAGGGCATTGAGACAAACAAAGATCATGTAAATGCTTTATACGGTCGTAGCGGAGAGACGATGTGTTTACGAGAATGAAACCAAGCGAAAATGACACTGTCAAAGATAAACTAGCCGTTTGCTCGTCTGTCAAGCCATTGATAATGAATAGGGTTTTTCATTCGTGTACTGCCTTTACCGTCTTGTTTGCTCGTCCAACTTAATTAAGCTGCAATGAAACAAATGAGATGAAGCCACTCCTTTGAATTTCGGATTAATTATCTTTGTTTGATTCTTGTCTTTCCAAGAATTGCTCGAACTGTTCTACTATTTATTTATGTTGCTTTTCTTATTAAGAATTTCAATCATTTCAAACACCACTTGAAGTGATACTGATACTTTTTCTTTTATTTTCCGAGACTTTAGACTAACGTCATTCTGTTTTAGGAGTCACTATCATACTATATGCATTATTTACATTATTCGCAATGTTATCCTCATCTTCATTGCCATATTCACAACGTTTCGGCCGTTGTACGCTCCGGCTTTCTTCAGGTGATTGGAATTTCGAACCGAACCCTTTATTTCTACCGGGGTGGATTGTTCTAGTTCTCCGTGCCAGTTATTTCTCTTTAAATCAACTCTCCGAGTTATTTTTAGTTCCTCACTGCTGTGGCCTGATATTGAACTCACAACTCTTTGGATCTAGTCACTGGATCTAACCAACGTCTTTATCCACTGGGTCATGGCACGTGAAACTAGAACAATCTTTTTTTTTTTTTTTTGGTTCACCACTGCTGTGGTCTGGTATTGAACACACAACTCTTTGGGTCTATTCACTGGGTCTAACCAACGTAAGAACTTTTTGCTTATACAAGAAAAACTCTATTTCTTCGGATTTACTATAACCATCTTTTTGGAATAGTCGTTATATCACGACCTGTTTTAGAAGAACTGCCCGTACTTCGTTATGTTTTATGGGCAATCATCTTATCGCGCATTGTTTGAGGAGCAATGACAATACCTCATTATGTCTTTAGAGCAATCACTATACCTCATTATCTCTTTTCAGACTTCACTATGAGACACTGTGTTTTAGAGGTACGTAAGCTCACTATGTTGTGGGAACACCTAAAATCTCTATCCATGAATTCAGCAGTACAATGTATTTTATGATCACAATACTACTTTTTCAGTTTTTAATGTTTTTGTCTATTAGTATTTAAATTTTATAAACTTGCAACACCCGCGATGACATTCTACGACACCCTAGAGAGAGTTACAACACATTCATTGAAAATCTCTGAATTAAGGAATATTTTCTGCTTTTTTACTTATTTTTTAAACGCCAAATAAAAAAAAAATAAACTCTTTCATGTTTTTTGTGCCTGCATGCCCCTAGCTTATCTTATTATAAGGTCCCATGGTTGAAAAGGAGTAAAAAGAAGATTGTGTTACACTAATATTCTGAGTGAAGGAGGCCTGCCTACTGAGGAAATTATCTAAAATAAAATTATCTAAAATAAAATTATCTAAAATAAAATTATCTAAAATAAAATTATCTAAAATAAAATTATCTAAAATAAAATTATCTAAAATAAAATTATCTAAAATAAAATTATCTAAAATAAAATTATCTAAAATAAAATTATCTAAAATAAAATTATCTAAAATAAAATTCTTTAGAAATATTATACTAATTAGGGAAGAATGTAACA